GCCAGCCGGCCCCGCGCCCTGCGCCCGCCCTGCGACCTGCGCCGGCAGTCGGAGGAGGTGGAGGTGAGCCCGGGGGCTGCGGAGCAGGGGGGGCTGCCTTGGCTTTCACCCCGTGCCCGGGGATCACCACGGGGGGGATGGATGCCAGGAGGTGCTTCTCTTGGTTCTTCAGGGCTCCCCGCCCTGGCGCCCGCCGTGTGCCGCGCTGCGCCAGAGGGCACCTTTCGCTCACCTTGTGTTTTGTAAACCAGAACGCATTCATTTATTCTAAATTCTCAGTAACACTTTGGTCTTGGCTTTGCTAAACTGTCTACAACTGCAGATTCTCCCAGACCCCTGGAAGGCAACAGCTGATAAGGCCTAATCAGACAGTGCTCTGTGTTTGTGCCCGTTACTGAGTTTGCTGCTGCAAACGTTGTGATAATAAGAAGAATTTGACCCAAATCCACACTTAGAGGCTGAGGAGTTATTAATTTTCATGCTTGCAAAAGGTCTTAAAGTTTAATGAAGGTGCTCCGTTCTCAAGAGCAGAAATATCCCTGAAAATTGTTTCCACTTAAATGAAATCTGAATGTGTGCTGAGAATTTTTAAAGCCTTTTGTGATGTCCCCTGTAAAACGTTACTGCCTTTAATTCCTCCTCAAATCTCCGTGGGAAATATCAACCACTTCCTGTGGCAACAAGCCAGGCCAAGTGCTCCTGTCTGGGCAGGTGGTTCTCCGTGCTCCAGGGGTGGACATCCCACCTCTGCTGTCCCTTCGGGTGCTGGGGCAGGAACGCGGTGGTGGCTGCAGAGGCTTCTCCGGCACTCGGGGAAGGTGCTGCTTTCTGGTGTGGGGTCTGCCCATGTCCCACCTGTGGGGTGGTGCTGAGGGCTGTGTCACATCGTGTCCCGTGGTGTCACGCAGGGCATGGCTGGGGCGCGGCGGTCGGTGATCGGGGACAGCCCCCAGCTGCTGACACACTACTACGATGACGCCAGGACCATGTACGAGGTCTTCAGGAGGGGATTCAGCATCTCCGGTGAGAGACTGACAATTAGGTTATTATTTGCAACCTGCATTGTTTTGTCTTGAATGCCACTGAATTTTACTGTGTGTCTCTTGGTACCACGAGATCTTCTTGCTGCCACCAGCAGGCAGCTTAACGCCCTGAGTGGTGCAGCATCAGCAGAGCTCATCATATGCTCTTCACTGCCAGAGCATTTATGAATACATTAAATGGGGCTGATCCAGGCACAGATCTGTGGAACCCAACACAGTTCTTCCTCCACTGCCAAAGCTGCTGTTTGCTCCTGCCTGGTGCTGCCTTTTCATCCGTAACTCCCCATCTTACCTCTCTCTCCACAGCAGGGCAGGGCCAGGGACTCTGCCAAGAGCCCTTAGGAAAGCTGAGCACCATGTATCACTCCATGGCCCTCACCCCACAACTGATGGTACCATCAGAGAGCTCTCACACACTTGTGAGACATCATTTCACACTCCAAAAAGCCAGGATGACTCTTCCCTGCTCTGTCATAACTATTTCTGTCTCCAGTGCTTACGATATCCTGCCTCACTGAACACACCAACTTCACTGTCAGGTTACTATTTTTGCTGCCACCATATTGCAACTATTCCACCCTGCAGGATGGGGGTAAATGACTAACTCAGTAGGTGCATGGAGGGATGGATCTTGTGCAGGTAATTACACTTAGCAAATTAATTGCCCCTCTCAAATATTCCTCCTGTCACATAGTGCTGGGTATTGTCTTACCCTGCTCCAGAGGCTGTGCTAAAAATAGCAGTTTTTCTCTTTGAAGTGTTTAAATCAAAAGGCAGCGAAAGCCCTGGGGGCTGGTGTTGGGGGTGGAAGCCTGAACAGGCACAAACACTCACACTGCCTCTGGAGAAGTGGCTTTTAGTGAGACTGTCAGGGGACAAGCTGCTGCTGTTCCCTCTGTGGCTCCAAGAGGAGGACTGAAGCAGGTGTCTGGGAGGTGCCATCAGCTGCTCTTCCATCCGCTCCACTTGTGGGTTTAACTGGACCAGGCTTGCTGAGAGCTCTGCCCCAGAGCCCACCCCCAGAACAAGAGATGTGCTTTTGGAGGGCTCTGCCCCACAGCGTGGCACTGGGCAGCACCTTGTCAGGGCCTGGCACAGGCTGCCCAGGGCAGTGGTGGAGTCACCATCCCTGGAGGGGTTCAAAAGCTGTGTAGATGTGATGCTGAGGGACATGGTTTCTATGATAAATCACAGAGTGGTTGGGGTTGGAAAGGACCTGAAAAACTATCTAGAACCAACTCCCTGCCCTTGTCCCAAGCCCCTCCCCAGCTTTCCTGGAGCCCCTTCAGGCACTGGAAGCTGCTCTAAGGTCTCCCTGGAACCTTCTCTTCTCCAGGCTGAACACCCCAAGTCTCT